GGTGAACTGCAACCTGGAAACAGGCCACGGCTCTTCCACGAAATCTTCTGGCTTCTGCGGAAGAGCGTCCATTTCCTGGAGCCAGTTTGAGACAGACAGTGCTCTGCAGTCAGAAACGGGACTGGAATCCAGTGACCCTTATTCCATATGAAGTGCTACGAAACTCACAGCAGATCAATTTTTTCTTAGCTGTCTACACACTGAATTTCAGCCCAACTCGTGCCATGCCACGGATCAATAAGAAGAAAGTGTTTTCCAAACACCACAACGACCAACTTGACAGAGTTGTAGCTTGAGTATTCTTGGGAATGCTTTTTTTCTGAAATTTCAACTGGGTTGGGTGCACCACTCCCAACCTTAGGAAAGGTCAACTAATTCCCTCTTAGACTTTTCTCCTAACATGTTCCCCTGAAAGTGCTGAAGTTTTGAACTTAAACCAAAGGGTTAATGTGTTTCCTATTAGGTTTTAAGTGAGTCACAACATTTTTCTCCATAGGCCAAATATCACCAGTCACAATTAACCTTCATTAATTACTTCTGTTTTGAATAACAGTACTTTTTTTTTCCCCAGATTGCACACACTCCCAAAGTTTAGACCTGTGTTTAAACATTATGTTGGACCTTATCACAAAAGTGATTCAATCCTGCTGGGATAATCCTGTATTCAGAGGTGCCATGGGTTAACTAGAGCAATGGACATCAGGATTCCCAGGCTCCAGGTTAATTCTGACAGTTACTTTCTGATCATTTGTAGGTAACTTCCTTGTATCTCCGTCTGTTCTGCTGTAAAATAGATTTAGAAACAGACGAGATCTGGGAAATATTGTTGGCTAGTGAATTCCTTTCCCTGTAAACTTACAGCTGTTCTTTGTTTTGCTGATATACCGCTGTACTTCTGTGCAATTTAAATCATTCTGTATAGAGAGCAGGAAGCAGCTTCACTTAAGAGAATATTTCAGTCTAAATCACAGGGAAATAAAAAAATAGATTTCTCCTAATTGAATCATTTCTAGCTTTTCCACACTTTGAACTGTTCCTCCTGTAGTGGAAAGTGAACAGACGTGCTATTGAACAACAGGACGGTGAAGCCTCTGCTCTTCTTTCAGAGCGTAGCATCGTTGGAAACAGCAAGTGAAAGCAATCCCAGGGGCAACATCTGCTAGCATCAGGATTTCAGGGGTGGTTACGTTTGCTGAGATCTTAGACTGAAATCTTGCCATCACTCCACAGATAAAATAGCGTTAGCAACAACTGCATTCCAAGCCAGTTGATGTCAGCAGGGGTCTGTTATTGTTGCTCTCAGCATAGAGAAGTTGGCAGACTGACACACAGGCCACCAGACATTTATTCCAGCCCTTGTCCTGAATTAGGCATTTGCCAAATAGAGAAAGCTAGCTCTTAAATCTGGCTGGGCAACACAGAAACAAAAATCACCCCACCAACAAACCAAGGACCAGGAGCAATAACAATTCCCCTCTCCCTTTTCCCTCCTACCACTATTTTTTCTTTCTTTCTTTTTTTAAGCTAGAGATGCAGCCTAATGGGTGAGTGTGATCCTAACCTCAGAAATAGTTTGCATTTTCTTAGAATAAGGAGTGACTCACCCCAGTCAGTTACTCATGATCACTGTAGATCGTTGCTTGTGGAAATAGGTGCTGCCAAGAACAGGGCTCATTGGTGGACAGGCTGAACACATTTTTCTTGGTTAAAACCAAAGTCTAGATCCCCAGAAAGTTAATTATTAAGCCACTGAGCTGTCAGGCATCTAGAGAAGAATTTGCAATGTTCCATTATTAACTCAATATATTAGATAATTCTGAAATGAGTGCTTCAGGAAAAAGAAGTAGAGATAATGCTATTCAATAAGTGTTCAGCATCCCCTTTACTATATACAGAGATAGAAAAGTCAAACTAACAGCATATATGCTAAAAAGCAGTTAAAGCGAGGTGTGTTTGAAAGTAACAGTAGCCTGACATACCACTTTTAAAAGATTATACCTTATATTCAATGTTTAATCTGGTTAAATATTTGGAAGTTAGCATATAGATGTTTTCTGTAACTACAAGAAATGCCCCAATTAATTTTATATCAGTATTTCTTACTAGGAAAATAAAGTACATCATACCTGAGTGGTCCAGCCTGGATGAAACTCCAACCTCTGAAAAGCAAACGAGTGTGTGGTTGCCTGCAGCTCCCTCTTCCGGAAAATGCAATATTTGACAGAGCTGGAAAAGGAAATTTCTCACAAATTCTCAATTATGTTTCACAAACTCATTGTGTCCTTGCCCTTATAAACCCAGAAGTATAAAGTATGTGGAAGAAATTATTTAATTTATTAAATCTGACTTTTTATAGCTGCTTTTATATAGGTTAATTCTTTCCATTCTCTGCAGGCAGATACAGAAAATAATGATTTTATAACTGATGTTTTCAGGTCAAAGGTGCAGGTTTGAGAACAAAGCAAAGGACAAACGAGGCTTCACCACAGGTGCACAGAAGCCCTATTTGGTGGGGTTTTTTTCCCCCCAGAATATTAAAGGCTTTGGCATTGCAAGGCACGAGGCAGATGGTTCTTTCTATGGGTACTGCTAAGGTAACACCAGAATCTGGTCCCAGGGGTGTTGCAGTATCTGTGGTGTCAGACTGTCATTCTGCTCCTCAGTCTGGCACTGTCTGCAGCTTCTTCTGCAGGTGCTGGGTGCCACCTGCAGCCTCTCCTCTCAATGCAGAAGGCAGGTAGGGCTGGGAACATGCCAAAGCCACAGCTCAGCCTCACCCTTCAGGTGTGGGGACAGAAGGTTAGCAAGAGTGACATCAGCTTCTCACGCAGAGGATGCAATGGGGTTACAAAAGCATCTTTAAAGACTCCTGGAATACAGCTCATTACTTGCTGCAGCTTTGTTTTGGGCTAAAGAAAAAACAAAGTGGCACAGTCAAAAGTATAAAGTCATCGTTAATCAGTTCAGGATATTGTGATTTGTGCAAGACAATATCTTTTGTGGCAGGTTAAAATCTGCGACCCCCTGTTGATACACCAGTGACAGCAACATAAGTGTCTCTGAGTTGGATGGAGGAACTCACACAGCTTAAATAGCCCAGCAGAAGCACACTCATGTGGGTGAGCTCACAGTGATTTCTCTGCAGAAAATATTATTGCTGCTAATTATAAGATGTGAATGTACACGTAGACAAATTAGCTGCTACCTTGTGTAATGTTATCACCTAGTAGTACCTGAGATCCAAGCAAGTGGCTTGCACAGAGAAGCCCCATGGGTGCACCTGGAGGTCATCAGCCTCCAGTTAGGAGGTACCATTTCTGCAAGCAAATGTCAACCAGGTCAGAGTAGACTTACACAACACTGAGTGAGTGGCATCTTACAGCAAATGTCAACCAGGTCAGAGTAGACTTACTACACAACACTGAGTGAGTGGCATCTTATACATTAGCAATAGCTCATTTAAAGAGTTCTTCAGTAGTACATGAGTAATCAGCTTTAGAAAGGGTCCTTTTAATATCAGATATTCTTAATGAAGAATTTAAAGAGAGTTACAGACAAATCCACTTACAGATGCATGAGCACTTTAAAATAGACTTGAAAGCACACAACTAGCCAACTAACACACAAGACCAAAGCAGACGGTTTCATGGGGTTCTCTAGACTACAAGGGTTACTGTGTTCTGGGGGTTTTTTTTGTTCCTATTTTGAGGTTTTTGTTCGTTATTTAAACAGGGAGAGCAAAGCCTATGGGAATTGTGGAAGAATTGTCTACATGTTTGATTTTTTTTTCCCTTACCTTTTACTAATATTGAAGAGAACACAGAACAATGAAGTGATATGCTATATTTAAAATATAAGTCATATTGATGAAAAATCTAGCCATGAAAAACTAACCTCTCCTGCACTGTGGTAAGAGCTAGAGGCTCAGAGAGCCAAGTCAATTGTTACTCAGATGCATTGACTCCTGTGAGGTTCCAGTTAATGAAATAGCTCAATTTAAGTTTTCCCAAAAAGCTGAAAACCAGGACTACACTTCCTCCTCCTCGCCCACTAGCCCCCCTCCCCAAAACCCCACTCTGCACAGCCAGGTTTATAGGCAGAGTAGCTGACTGAGTAACAATTTAGAAGTAGAGGAGCAATAGATTCAGAGATGAGGCTTTAATCTTTGCTCTCTGGAACAGGCAGCTGATGGTGAATTTCCTATGCTCCGTGCTAAAGCCAGCTGAGCGTACTTACACTTGGGTAACTGCTGTGCTCACCCCTCCTCCTCACTAGTATTTGCAGTTAATTAGTGCTACTACAATCTCCAAGTATTTCTCCAAAAGGCAGAAGAGTTCATTAGCTCAGTTATGAACAGGACAGCACTAATCAGATTTCTCTAAGAGGCAGCCACAGAGAAGCAGCAATTCATTATCTGCAGTGACAGAAGACTGCTGTACACACAAGTCAGAGCTTGGGATGAGCAAGTTGTTTTAAAACCAACATCTCAGTTTAGAGCTGCATTCTCACCCTTAGACATTTTTATTAATTATACTTACCATATCAGTCACCTTTTAAAAGAGCAATTGACACAGTTCAGTGTGATGTATTGATATCACTTTATTGAACTTAAACATAAATCCTGTTTAAAAGCCTACTCAGTGTGTTGATTACAGCAACAAGTCACGGAGAATGTAACACGTTACAAAGATGTCTGCAGAAGAGTGGCTCATGCTTTGTGAGAAGCCTGTTGCCCACTTGCATTCTTACGCCTGACAGGGACAGCAAGAGACAAAAGGAGAACAAATATTTACAAGTATCTCAGAAAGAAGGAAGTTTACAGTTAGAAGTTCACATAACACACAGTTTTGAACTGTTCAAGTATGTTTCAGGTGGACAAAGTGCTACAGGTCACATATAAAAACACAGTAAAAAAACCCCAAAGAGGAACTATTAAGACAAAGAGGTGGCAGTCACTTGTGTGCCAAACAACTTGGAGGTGGTTGCAGTGTATGCAAGATCTAGAAGTTGAAAGTATCTGGGGTATTGCCCTGAATTTGGAAAGTGTAGCTGGCAGCAGTAGATTCTGGTACAACATTGTGGTCTTCTTCCTCCTAGAAGAAAGAAAAAAGAGTTTGGAAAGAGCAGTAGCATTTCAACCTAGAACACAAAATAAGAATGGGGGGAAAAAAAAAAAAGGAAGTCACCCTGCAGCCACTTACTTCTGCTGAGAAATATTTCTCAATGAGGGTGGATGAAGCTTTGTACACTTGTTCGTTCTCATGTGACTGGAGAGCTTCGATTTTGTCCAGACCTCCACACTCCTCAATCATGAGGCAAAGTTTTTCAGTCTCATTAATCTTCTCAGCAGCCTGCAAGAGACAAGCAGGGAATAACCTCAGGAAAAATGCACAGCACTAACTACTGGGAAGCCATCAGCAACACTTTGGACAATGACTGAGCACGCTGCATCCACGTACCAAAAAGATATTAGAAATAGCATCCAGAATGACTAGCACAGTTTTGCTGTCTTTAGCCGAGAGGAGATTCAGCAGGGGCTTGACAACACCAGCCTGAACAAGATACACGATCTGGTCAGTTGTTCCACCACTTGTGTAGTTAGTCACAGCCCACACAGCTTCCTTTTGAGATTTGAAATCCCCCTATGAAGGTAAAAGCAGGGTATTTAAACACAGCCAGTTGTAGCAATAGCACAAACCTCAGCACAATAAAGACAGTTTTTGTTTTTACCTTCCTCAGAATGCCAATGAGATAAGGTACAAGACCATGGTCTACAACTCTCTGAATCTGGTCCTGTCGCCCGGCAGTGATGTTGGACATTGTCCATGCTGCTTCTTTCTGAATGTTGTTTTTATGATGAGAAAGGAGACTTGGAAAGACAGAGAGTGCTCCTGAGTCAATAACAACCTGCGTCTGCTCATCAGTGCCAGTGACAATGTTTCCTATAGCTCTTAATGAAGGAGTCTGAAAGAAATATGAAAACAGCACTTAGGAAAATAGGTAACAATCTAATCTGTGCTTGAACAAATACAGCCTTGCCTGATGCCCCTCTGCTCCAGCCTTCCCAGTTAACAGCATGATATTATGCTATGTATGAGCTTTAAGCTCCTCATTAGCATTACACACACAGACATCAAGCATGCTAAGAGTACACACCTTCCAAGGCCAATCTGCAAACAACTACCCATGACAGAGCTTAGGAAAACCATCTCCTAAATACTGATGCAGTTTTATTTTCCTATGATTATACTGTGCACAGAGGCCACTTCTAAACACTGTCCCTAGAATGGGGATTTGCAACAGTAATTTAGAGTTAAAAGCAAGCTTTAAAGGATGCTGATTGTTGTGCTGGTGTGTTAAATCCAACAATTATTTAAAGAAGCTTGATAATGATCAACAGCAAGAGCCTATGCCTCATGTGGGGCAGTGTCCAGGCAAGATAGAAGCTCAAGTCCTACCTACACAAAATCTGGAACAAGCATCAGATTTCTGTATGGAAATGAGCATTCAGTTACATGGACACTGTTCTAACTGCAGTTTCATTCATGACTCAAATCAAGCATCAGCAGCCTGCCTGTCTGGTAACTTACCATTATTGACAGTTCACTACACCCCAGGAGTTTCACAAGTTGTGGCACCAATCCAGTTTTCACTACAACTTCTATCCTGTCATTTGAACCATCTGTTAGATAGGAAAGTGCCCAGCATGTGTCTGCCAACACCTCATGATCATCATGGTGCAAGAGCCGAACCAGAGTCGGAAGAATCTGCTCAATGGCTTCTATGGGTGGTGCAGGATTCTTGTTACGACACAGGTTTGAGAGGGTCCAGGTAACGTTGCGTAAATATCCAGACTGCAAGAGTTGAAATAAATGGTTAGTAACTGTTGAGGAACTTGAGCTCTTTTGCTCACTTATTAGTAATTGTAATTTGAATCATCCTGCACACTTACAGCCAGAGAAGAGAGATCGGGAACTGCCAACAGACTCAGCAGTGGCTCAATCGCACCAAATTTAATAACCAGGTCTCTATAGGTAGAGCCATCCCCTGAGAAAACAAGAAAAACAGCCAAGTGAAAACCAGAAGAGAGGGACATGCACATACAGAATCATTATGTGTTAAAGGATGAGTTCTTCTACTGCTTAAGAAATGCTAGAGAAAATAAAAAGAAATAGGAGGACAGAAGACCACTGCTCTGGTTAAGTCATGTGACAAGCATGTGTTTTTCTAATCGAGCAACCGAGTGTAATTTATTTCCTGTTGGAAAAAGGGGTAATTTAGTGTATGTTTTCTATACAGCTTTTTTTAGAGTTCATAACTAAGCAGGGACTTACATGTTTCTTTGAAAACATATCTAAGCCCTATCATTAGAACAGAGCTCTTCTAACACGGGACTTCAAATGCATTGTAATCCTTGGTTACATGGTTGGGTTCTATAGAATAATGCTGACTGATGCCGAAGTTTCAATGAACTACTCAAGGTACAAAGAACACCTTATAATTGAGTTTAAAAAACCTCCAAGGGCAAACTTTAAGAAAAGTCCAATCAAACAAAGCTCTAAGCCCTATCATTAGAACAGAGCTCTTCTCCTAACATGGGACTTCAAATGCTTTGTAATCCTTGGCTACATGGTTGGGTTCTATAGAATAATGCTGATTGATGCCGAAGTTTCAATGAACTACTCGAGGTACAAAGAATACCTTATAATTGAGTTTAAAAAAACCTCCGAGGGCAAACTTTAAGAAAACTCCAATCAAACAAGGTTTTTACTGAGCTCATTTTCTCTGTGTGATGATTCACTACTCTCTGTAAGGCACAGCTGTTGGAAACCATAACACATCAAATACAGTATTTAACTATATATATATATATATTTTAGAATAAGATCTAACACTGGCAGATCAAGTAATCTTGACAGGTGCATGAGAAGCTTCAGTATATGATACTTTCACATCAGTAAGTAGCTGTTTCAAAGCAAGGAGTGTTGGACATCACATACACAGTTGTGTGACTCATCTGCTTCCCCCTTTCCCCTTTCTAGTTGATGCACAGAGCAGAGCTCATTGATAAGTCACAAAAACATCCAGTGAGACATGTGAAGCCCTGTGTTGTAGCATGGTTATACAGCTTTATCAACCTGAACTGAAATATGGAAGCAATCCACATAATGCAGCCTCGAGTCTGCCAGGTATTGCATGAGACATCTTACACTGGGGCTGAAGATAAGAATTATCCACAGCATACTCGACATTGCAGAGTGTGTCTTTACTTGCAAAGCATGAAGGCAGAGTTCTCAAGAAGCTCAGTCAGCACTCTGCATGACACATCAGGAGCAGTGTCCTCCTTTTCAAAAAAGGGGACAGGTCTGAGGCAGAGCTGTGGAGTGTATTGACATACCTGCAATATTTCCTAACGCCCACACAGCCTGTTCACTGATGTGAGTGTGGGGAGAGGCCAGCAGTGAAATAAAGGCTGGAATAGCCCCTCCATCTACAACTGCCTTTGTTTGTTCTGATGTGCCAGAAGCGATGTTGGTAAGTGCCCAGGCAGATTCAAACTGAATAGGACTGCAGTCTGCTCTTCCCAAGAAGGAGACAAACCTGGGAATCAAACCAGCCCTAATGATGCTGTCTATTGGGGGCTGCTTCTCTCTTGAGAGGAGTTTCCTAAGGAGGAAGACAAACAAAAAGCATTATTTTTGCCTGCAGAGATCTGAACAACAGATTAAACAGTCTAAAAAAAAAAAATCATCTCTATCTAAAAAAAGGAAAAGTTTTAGCATTGCTTTAACATTCAGAGAAGGCAATGCAACAAGTCATGAAGGAGAAATACAGACAAGCTGAACACCAGCCTCCTAAACCTCTGTTAACATTGCTTGTGGCATGTCTCCACTGCATGAGAGGTTCTGTTCAGACTCTGAACTAGAGCAGACCTGCAGGAGTCACAGTTCATCTGCATTGCTGCAGGTTTCTCAGCAGGCAGAAGGTTAGTGGCTGCCAGAAGCAGCACTGCAGCAGTACACAAGCTTGCTAAAGGAGATTGTAGATTTGGAAGGAGAAAGGAAGCTTGGCATACTTCAAACCTCAGTCTTACTGTGCACATTACTCCAGGCAGATCACTGCCCTCAAATACTGTGGCAAAGTGTTAGCAGTTTAGAGATATCTTATTTTGCTATACCAAAGGGTTTATTATTATTACTTCAACAAATCTAAGATGTACTATTTATTTTGCCACCTCAAAACCACCAAACAGTATTACTACTTCCTAGTAAAATGCTGAGGCACTTTAAACATTCAAAAGCCACACAGTTTCAATAAAATTGTGACTAAGTTAAGCATACCTAAACATTGTATACAAGGCTGATTGAGATGCTTGTTGAAATCCTGCCTGATAAAAGCCATAGGTGCTGCCATAAGCAGACACTTTGGCTCATAAGCCAATTCTTTTACCTTGCCTAGTTACTGGCTTGCACAGCTCAATTGGTTACCTCTAAACTTCTTACCTGGCAGCTTGAGTAGCCTGTAGCTGAAGCTCCATGTTATTACTATTAATTCCTTTGACTATTTCTTCAACTGACCAGTGTGCTGAAACCTGCACAATAAAAAGGTACCAAAAAAAAAAGTTACATGAACACTTTGCTGGGAGAGGTGTGTGTCTTCAGGACCACAGAGACTTTCTATGCAGTACTATGAATAAACCTCAGTTCACAACCACTTCCTTTATTAACAGATTACACTGCTAAGTGATACTCCAAAACCTCATCAGCTACAGCTTTATCTGCAGTTATCTGAACTACTGAAAGCATTTTTTCCATCAAGTGCTTCACACCACTGATACACCAGCCTTGAACACAACTGCTTCAGCTATGTTTTAAGAGTGCTGTCCATTACAGTTGGCAGTACAGGTTTAAGTTGTAATGTCTATGCAGTAGTGCTGTCCCCTGCACGAGAAGGGACTCGTACTAGTGTGGCTGCATGAGCTTTTGTAGCAGAACCTCCAACCACACCTGTTCCAAGTACCTACTTACCTGATTGCTCCTGTTTTCCTGAAGAGGAGAAGTAGCATCATCTGGTAAAGTGCTAACATTTCTTCTTTTAAGCATCTGGTCATCTTTCTTAGCTTTCCTCAGCTCTACGTTGATTTCAATACGCCGCCTTCTCATTTCCTGGAGGATGTACATTCATAGTAAGCTCTTGGTTTTTACAACTCATGTTTAGAGAGATGATGGGTAGCTAAAACATTAACTACATCAAAATACTTACTGTAGTATCCTTGCCCTTGTTCTTGAATCTGTTCAAGCGAGCTGCTGCTGCATTGGCATTCTCGTTAGCAGACATCTTGTTTATTAGATTTTGAGAGAAACAGATAAAAAATAAGTCTGAAAAGAAAGCAAATAATAAACAAATTTACTCCACAAAAGTTAAGAACTGGGATCAATGCTTACGAATGAGAGACTCCTGTCCATATTAGATACAATAACATCCTCTATCTTGATCAAAGACACTAGTAACATAGCAGCTGTCTCTTTAAATGCCTAGGTGTTGCAGCAAGCTCTAGCTTTAACACAGAAGCAGTAAACACAGGTACATCATTTTACAACCCTCCCAGCCACAACCTTTATCAGAGTCATTGCTTTTAGGAACAAGATTGGTCTTCCTTCCCATAGACAGCACACATATATTTTTCAAACACTATTTTCACTGTATCACACAGCTATATTGCACAGTCATATAGATTTAGCGCACAGGCACCCCCTCCTGTCCCACCACAGCCTCCCTTTGATGGGAACAGAGCAACCTCGCACTGGGAAGGCCCCCGGGGCAGGGTTACAGCAGCTCCAGTGGTAAGGAGGCAGGACCCTGCACCTTGCCCAGCTCCAAGGCGACCCACTGACTAAGAACCCGTTTCCTTTCACCCACAACTAAGCCAGAACACGCAGCCCACTCCGGATCGCGCCAGC